GCCGCCGTTTCTTTGCAGCGCGCGTGGTTCCCTGATCCGCAGACTCTCCCGTTTGCGCCTTACATTAAAACCCATGCGCTGGTGTCGCTGGTCCAGAAGGGCCTGCAATACCACGAGATGGAATCCTCGCTGGACAAGGTATGTGTTTCATTTTAAACGGTTCTTACGCGCCAAAGAGAAAAATCTACTTTCCGTGGATCCCTCAATTTAAAATCAAACTAATCGCAATGTACAGGAGGGCAATCAGAAAAGCATTTCACCGTCTGACTATTTTTTCGGACCAGAGCCCTTTGAAATTGGAACCAAAACTGGATCAGTGGAAAGTCGCGATGAGGCTGTCGGCACAGACCCAGATTCGCCGGGCCAACTTGCGCGCGACCGCCCGGTAAACGGCCATGCCGAGCCCGGAAAGGGCACCCGAAAGGACGAAACTGATAGCGATGAATCCATGGAGGACAAGGCGCAAACTGAAAGCCAGCCAGATACTGATCATATGGATGAAGATGGTGATGTCAGCATGGCCGAGGAGATCCCTGAACTACCCACTCTGGAAAACGGCGACAGCTCTCGCGTCCAGATCGCCCCCGCCAAGCCCATTGATTTGACCCCCGACACCGCCCTACTGAATCCGGATAATCACGTGACTCACACCGTATGGCGCCCTCGAGATCCCACTGTGGTTGTGGGAGCTGGTGACCTCTTTTGCAGCTTATGGAAGCTGTCAATGTCATCAGAACCCGTGCAGAAGAAAATACTCGAGCTCAAGAAGGGTGACACAACTGTCTCAACCGTAGCCTGGGATGCCATTGGTGAGAAATTGGCCGTCGCGACTTGTACTGATGACAGGGGCACTATCACCATGTACAACGTCAATGGAGATGCAGTGGACCTACTACCAGAGGTACCCCGGCTCATCACCGGCTTGCACTGGGCAGCCGGTAACTCGCAACTGATTGTTGTAGCCTCAAATCATAACGTATCGGAACTCGCGCTTTGGGACGACAGCCGCCGACCAGATGTTTTCCCTCCGCCTCAAATCATTGAGAACCATATCTATGATCTCGCGTGGTGTGGACGCAACCTGGCATTCGCTTCTGGTGATGGTGCAGTCTATCAATGCGAGGTGGACAACAGCATCCGTTTGATTAAGACCTTCCCTTCTCCCAGAGATAACGCAACCTGGGAGTTTATTCGCTGTGTCCAAACCGAGTTCCATTCAGTCGCTATCGTGGCTTCTGGGCTGAGCGCTTCGATTTGGATCCCCACTCATGACATTCTTATCTCCAACGCCCACAAGGACAGAATCACCGGCATTGATATCAGTCCTCAATCTGATCCCCATCGTATTGAATTTGCCTCTTTCTCGGCAGATGGTAAGGTCAAGGTTTGGCAGGTCAACCTCGATATAAAGGATTACACGAACGTTCATCAGCTGAGCCTAGACTCAAACCCCGCTATTACCGGATCTTTCTCCCCCGATGGATATGCTCTCGGTGCAGCTAGCAAGGACGGACTCTTTATCTGGAACGTTGAACACCCTGGTGGTAATCTTATGTCTACCTGGGCTGCAACTAGCCCCGAGGTGAAGAAAGAGGAAGCCGACCGCATGACCAATGGACATAATGGACACCATGGACAGAATGGTCATTCATACCCAGATCCCCATCGGGCCCTTTCCTGGGATGCAGATGGAAAACGACTTGCCTATGGCTTCAACAAACAGGTATGCTCCCTGATCTGATTTACCTGTGTCGATGCCCCCCATGCTGACGTTCCAATCTCCCAAGATGGCAATCATCAATTTGCAACGATGACAGAGCGGGTTTGGAACAGCCCAGGAGCCAGATAAAACTCACGACTTATGCCCTGCTTAAACTAATCTGTCAATCCCTCTTGAAAAGCCTTTTCAATCTCTTTCCCTCGAAGACATATCACCCTTCATGGTTTCCCCGAATTTTTTTCCCTTATTTATTACGTTCTGTGAACATACATTTTTTCCTTTAGAAAATGCATAATGGCATGCATTGCTTGGGACAGGTTTGGGTGGGCACGGCGAATGATATGGACTGGCGACGGTGGACTTTTTCTTTTGCCCTTTTTTTTCCCTTCACCCATCTCAGGTGGGATCTGTGATTTCTGAAACTCACTTTTAGTGTCTTATAATCAAGAAAATACCCCAATTTTCAAAGGAAGTCCTGTGTACAATATAGGTACATCTATAGTCGCTTTATCGATAATCGATATGCCCCTCGACGCTAGTCCGCATCTGGATGCATATAATCAGAGCCACATGGACACACTCGTGAGACATGAAGCATGCGCTTTGCTCGGATCCGCTCTTCAGTAAATATATAAAGAGCTAAATTTTGTATTATAATTGTGTGATCTTGTCAAACCTCAAATCAAATAGTGCAGGCTGGGCGCATTTCTGGACCCGTCGATACATAACCCCCCCCCCCCACAGTGAATCATTTTCCACCGCCAATTCAATCCTTTCCCTTGACTAGCATCGTCGATATCAACTACTTATAACAAGATGGCAACTCCTGTAAGTACACGTCTGTCATGTTACTGTATTTCTCCACTATTCGACACCCCCCGTTGGGATTTTGTTTACGCTCATTGACCGATGACTCAGGTCGCCAGCATCCCGTCCCTTGAGACGGCGCGAGAAGTGATCTCGAAGTCCAGGAACTCCGAGTTCCCTCCCAACCTACTTCCTGTTACGGCGTCGATCCCTGCCGACCTCTTAACCCCAACATTGGCATACTTGAAGATTGCAGAGAAGTGAGTCATCGGGCTCTTTTCAACATTGGCGATAGCGCAGGGCATGCAATACTGGACAAGATCGCTGACTCGCAGAGATAGCTCGCGCTTGTCATTTTTGTATGAAAGTGCTGCTACAACAGAGACTATTGGGCGATACAGCTTTGTCGGCGCAGGTGGGTGATACCGGGAGTTTTTGGTCTGGTTCCATTGCTTACTTCGTCCTCCCATGCAGACCCCAGAAAGGTCATCAAGACCGGCGAGGGCCACGGCCCAGCAGCGGATCCCCTCCCATATCTCGAGGCTGAACTGTCTCAGTTCCGCGTCGCGACAGTACCTGGACTGGTCCTCCCGCCGTTGACCGCCGGAGCGATCGGATATGTTGGATATGACTGTGTTAGATACTTTGAGCCCAAGACCGCACGGCCGATGAAGGATGTCCTTGGAGTGCCCGAGTCATTCTTTATGCTCTACGACACCATTATTGCATTCGATCATTTCTTCCAGGTCGTCAAGGTCATCACCTATGTTCCCATTCCCTCGGCGGATGCCGATATCGAGACCTCATACCTCAAGGGCCAGTCCATCATCCAGAAGACGATCGATACGCTACTCCAGGACCGCACACCACTTCCACCCCAAGGCCCGATCATTCCGAACCAGGAGTATACATCCAACATCGGACAGGAGGGTTATGAAGGCCACGTCAAGCGATTGAAGCAGCACATCGCCAAGGGCGATATTTTCCAGACCGTGCCGTCACAGCGGCTATCACGACCCACCTCTCTCCACCCGTACAACCTCTTCCGCCACCTTCGCACCGTCAATCCTTCTCCTTATCTGTTCTATATCGACTGCCAAGACTTCCAGCTTGTCGGAGCCAGCCCCGAGCTCCTGGTAAAAGAAGAGCGGGGGCGTATCATCAGCCACCCCATCGCAGGCACAGTGAAGCGCGGTAAGACCCCGGAGGAGGATGCCGCCCTCGCCGAGGAGCTCCGCAGCAGTCTCAAGGACCGTGCCGAGCACGTCATGTTGGTCGATCTTGCCCGCAACGATGTGAACCGGGTCTGCGACCCCACCACAACACAGGTCGACCGACTGATGGTTGTGGAGAAGTTCTCGCACGTTCAGCATCTGGTCTCTCAGGTCTCAGGAGAGTTGCGGCCAGGAATGACCCGCTTCGATGCATTCCGCTCTATCTTCCCTGCTGGCACAGTTTCCGGTGCACCCAAGGTTCGTGCCATGCAACTCATCGCCGAGCTAGAGGGTGAAAAGCGTGGTGTCTATGCTGGCGCTGTAGGATACTTCGGGTATAACAGCGCCAACGCAGATGGCTCGGCCGAGATGCCCGGTGCGATGGACACATGCATTGCGTTGCGCACTATGATGGTCAAGGACGGCGTCGCATACCTCCAGGCTGGCGGTGGTATTGTCTTCGACTCGGACCCCTATGATGAGTACATTGAGACTATCAACAAACTCGGCGCCAACATTGCGTGCATCAAGGGCGCCGAGGAGAAGTACCAAAGCATGGAGAAATAATGTGTGGAATTTGGTTTAGAAATAAAAGCACAAGCAAGCTAGTTATGTCTTTTTTTTAGCAGAAGCGTTGGCCCCTCGTGTCACACAATGGGGCTGTGTTTTGATGCGGGGACGAAGATTATTCTCAGCCAGAACTAATCAGTTTTGGATTTCGGATGTATGTGATATGGGAGAGAAGTTCACGAAACAATATAGCACAATGTATGCCCATATCATTCTGATAATAGACTGGTTTTCACTGTGTTGTACTCCTTATACAGGAGCTGGATCAAGCCTGGGCCGTCGATGCACACACTTCTATGCTGCACAACGTAGAAGGTCTATATATTATTTGATCTGGTTGGACTTCACTTGTTTTGTATCCGAAACAAACCACTGTGTGCCAACTAGGGCTGTTGGTCCGGTCCTCGGGGATGGTTGTTTAGCCAATGACGCAAAGATAGACCTGGCGAAGTACATGGGGTACAGCATTGTATTTATAGAGCTGAGACTCACCCCCAACTTCCTCTCTCACTCTTTCATTCCAGACGGTCTCTTCTTTGGGCAATCGCATAGATGGCATCCATAACAGGGCCAGTCGTCACCATCGCCAGAGCCACCAGGTATCTAGGCAAGCACGTCACAGCAGCCTTCTTCTCGTCCACCTTCCAAGACAAATTCTCCGAGATAATCCTCCTCTCGAGAAACGAATCATGTCTCTTCCAACCCTCCTCCCCCCCCAAGCTGGCGTAAAACTCACAACTCGCCGCTATAACGAACACAACCTCGGAGAAGCCCTAGAGGACATACACATCCTCGTAAATACAGTCGGACCCGCAGGGCACGACTTCAAAGCAAAGATCGCAGCCGCCCTCCCACGAACCGACATCCGAGTCTACTTCCCCTCCGAGTTCGGCGTCGACCACTACGGTCATGACTTCGCCCACCTGGAGTGGCACGAGAAGAAGAAGCACCTTGCAAACGTGCAGTCGGTCGTTATATACATGAAGATCTCCCGCGTATTCTGCGGCCTGTTTCTAGAAGATAGTATCGGGCCTTGGTTCGGTCTCGATACCCAGAACGGGAAGTATACTGGTGTTGGGTCGTTCCGCACATTGTCGTTTACCTCGTTTGATGATGTCGGTAGGACGGTTGCTTCGCTGGCGACTATGCCGACAGAGAAGATTCCTGATGTTGTTCATGTTGGCGGTGATTCGCGCTCGTTTGCGGAGATTGTGGGGATTATGGAGTCTACGGGTGCGGAGCACATTGATATCGACTGCTTCCCCTATTTCCCCTATGGGCAATATAAGGCGGAGACTATTGCTAAGCCTTCGTGGCGTCCGGCTGGCTATCTATGGTTCTTGATGGGTGATGGGGGTGTTGCTCATACTCCTGCTTTTCTTGATGATAATAATCTTGTTAACCCTGGTCAGCTGCTGTGAAAGTGAAAAACTGTAGAGGATTTGGCCAAGGAAACTGATGGGCAGCCTGTGAAAGATGTTGTCTGGCCTCGTCATAAGTAAGTGTTTAGGAAACTACGGAAATAACCTATCACTGGATCACAGCTAGGCATAGGCCTTTCTTCATCTAATGACATGGGTAATTTATGCGCGCTTGCGGTGGAAGTATACTCAGCCACAAACTTGGAGCTTGGGGTGTTTAGGCAACAGCTAAGCCTTAGAGTTGGGGGCTGTGGACTCAGGTGTCTAGTGTGAAGCCCAGTCCATACTCCATACAATTCGTCCCAACGCTCGTATAAATGGCCTGTCATTTAAGTTTCGAGATTAATCAGTCCCATTTGGTCCACGAATGCGCCCTGGTGACTCAACCTTGGATTACTCAATATTTGAGGGTTTCCGACTTCCTGAGGTTCTTTTCTCCAAAGTCACGCACTTCCGAGATCTTTTCATTAAATAAGACGAAAGCACCTCGGAACAAAAACAAAACTCTTCAGCGCAACATGTCTCCATTACTGAATTCTCGTGCCAAAGGCGCTATCTGGGGCGTCTGCGTAGCCGACGCACTCGGTGGCCCTATACAATTTCAACACGCAGGAACATTCGAGCCGATCACAACCTTAAGATATGTCGCGCCCTTCCATCAACCAGCTGGGTAAGTGTCAATCACAGCCATCTATGCAGAATACCTGTGGCTAACATCAGCCAGGTCCTACTCCGACGACGGATCTATGACTCTAGCTTTGGCGTGCTCCTTCTCCAAATCCGAGATGCAATACAACCATACACTGTCAATCCAATACTTTGTCGAGTGGCTGACCAATGGCAGTTTCAGCACCGTCAATCACTCGTGGGATGTAGGACGCTCCACTCGCACCTCCCTGAGGCAGTGGATTAAGTATGGCATGCAGGAAGGAAATTTTGAACTTGCCCAGACGATGGTCACTGGGGCATTGGATTACGAGGAGTTCTCTGGGAATGGGAGCTTGATGAGGATCGTTCCTATTGGGGTCGTTTACTGGTACGATTCTACATTGGCTCGGAAAGTTGCCAGAAGACATAGCCAGATCACTCATCCTTCACTCGCGTGTGTGGAAGCCTGTGAAGCGTATACGGAGTTGGTTTGTAAGATCATGAAGGGTTGGTTCTCATTTTGTTTTCTTTCCAGACTTGCCACTGACTTTCCTTTCAGGCGAAACGAAGAAGCAGCTCTTCCACGCACTCTCTGTGTTCCCCTTTACTCACCCTGCTCTGAAGATGCGCATCTCACTGTACAGATACAGAACAATCAACGACTGGAAAATCAAGGCGCCTAGTGATATGACTAGTAGTGGATGGGTTGTTGATACACTTGAATGTGCCTTGTGGGCATTCTTCAAGTATGACACCTGGAAGGATGGGGCGTTGGCAGTAGTCAATCTGGGTGGTGACTCGGATACTGCAGGGGCTGTTTATGGAGGTCTCGCCGGCTCGTTCTATGGATTTGACACTATTCCCGATGAATGGGTGGCCGGGATGCAGAATAAAGAGTTTATTGGAAGTATTGCTGATACACTGTCTGATGGGATCGCTTGTGATTCTTGAATCATATTGGACAACTTCCAGGGTTTCATTTGAAATTATTCCACCATACCTCCGTACGGATGTTTGAGAACTAGGAAAGCACGGTATTTTAGGGCTATTTCCTAAAGGACTCTATGTAAACAAATGTTGAAATAGGAAAGAGCGATGTGATAGTACAATCAGGGAAGGTGCGTGTTGCTACATTCTAGGTGTCAGGAGAGGTTCAAACCCGATGTTCACAGTGGAGCTGTAAACTGTCTTTGGATATAAACGAGAGTCTCTAAGTAGGAGATTGTGGGCTAGGTATGCAGAGAACTCGTGTTTTGGGGATTAACCCTGCCATAGATATATACTGTCTCTTACAGTTCATGGATCATTCGATGGTTACCTGCATATATGAAGTACTGAGCTTGACTCAATCAGCATAAGGAATAGAATTATTACGGGTGTGTTCCATCAAAGACAACACTTCAAAGTAAGTAGGAAAAATGGATATAAGGCTTCGATATCAACGCCAATGTGGACCGACGATCGGAGTGCCAAGAGTGTTATTGCATTCTAGAAGAGTAAATGACGTAGCCTGATTCTTCCAAGAACTACGGACTCCAACAATACGGAGTATATACTACCGAGGTCGTATCTGTGTATAAATTTCCCACAGACCAATTGACTGTTGCCTGACCATGAAGGTTATTACGCGGCCCAAAGCCGCCACATGTGGCGGGAAACATGCCATTTGCTTTTTTAAACCCCAGCTTGATACTCAACAATTGGAATTGGCTTTGATTTAAGGTCAAATAAAAACCAATACGTAGATGTCAAAAAGTGAATTGGTTGTTCTAGGCTATAGCTTGTTCTAAGCTATAGGGGGGGGGGGGGGGAAAGGAGAAAAGGAGAAAATGTAATCTCACGGTGATTAGACCGGACCTCCGGCCACGAGGGTGTAACGGTACTTGGGCATGCACTGTACATGTTAGCCATCTATGTGATCTGGCAGCAGATTTTTGTGTATGAAATTTTTTAAAAAAAACTTCAAGCCTAAGAGGGTTCTAAGTGTAGATCCTAAAACAGTGAGTATAAAAGTTTGGTCCAAACTGCTTCGTCACTGCCAAGCCCTCTCATTCCCCCCGTTCGAGCCATCCCCTCTCCTCTCTTTCACTTTTCACCTTTCATCCGTTGATTGTTGATTACTGTTTGCCAATATCTCCTTTACTGGCAATCTAAAGCTCAATCCCTCAATCCCTTTAGACCCACCTGCCAACCTGTCCATTCCAGAGCAGGAGTGACTTACTTGACAACCATCTTAGGCCGCGACACACGGAGAAAGAGGGCAGTGCGTGCTTGGCAGTCTAATACTCTTCTACAATAATCCTTCGCATCGATTTCCGACGATTACGATCCATCCACATTAAAACTGCGACCGTCGCATTACCGCCACCATGTCTAAAGTCGTGCGGAGCGTGAAGAACGTCACAAAAGGCTATTCCTCAGTGCAGGTCAAGGTCCGAAATGGTACGAGCCGATTCCACTACATCGCACTTCTAGGCGATGATCGAGTTGCGGGCAAGAACTGCTGTCGCCCTGGCTTACTGCCCCTGTCCTTTTCCGGGGGCTGCTTGCTGCATTGCGCCCATGCACCCCGCATAGATTGTAACCCAGTTGCTAACCTACTTTTACAGCCACTAGTAATGACCCCTGGGGCCCTACGGGCACCGACATGTCCGAAATTGCCGCCATGACTTTCGGGAGGTGAGTTGAAGCTGCAACCTACCGTGTGGGCGCTGCTAACGCCATTTGCATAATAGTCCGAACGAGTTCTACGAAATCATGGATATGCTCGACAAGCGACTTAACGATAAGGGCAAGAACTGGCGCCACGTGCTGAAGTCACTGAAGGTCCTGGACTACTGTCTCCACGAAGGCTCGGAGTTGGTGGTAACGTGGGCCCGGAAAAATGTCTATATTATCAAGACTTTGCGCGAGTTCACATATGTGGATGAGGAAGGAAGGGATGTTGGCCAGAACGGTAAGTTGTTCCTTGAAAACCAGAAGCATTGCAAAATTGACAGGTTGTTTTGTAGTTCGGGTGGCAGCAAAAGAATTGACTGCATTGGTACTGGATGAAGATCGTCTGCGCAGTGAACGCTCAGATCGCAAGCTCTGGAAAACTCGTGTGAGCGGACTCGATGAAGGCTACGGAAACTCCCCCGTGGAACCACCGCGCAGAGACCGACGCCGACGCAACGGGGATGAAGATTCCGATACCGAATACCGCTTAGCTATTGAAGCCAGCAAGGCGGAAGCTGAGGATGAGCGCAAGCGACGGGCCAAGGAGACAATGGCAACTCAGGACGACGACGATCTTGCCAAGGCCATCAAGCTTAGCAGGGAGGAAGAGGACCTCCGAAAGCGCGAATTGGAAGAGAGCAACGCCCAGTCTCTCTTCGACGACACCCCAGCTCAAGTCCAGCCAACCGGCTACAACCAGGGCTACCAACAGCAAGGTGCTGTGGACTGGTTCGGCAACCCGATCAATGCGCAGCAGCCCATGACAACTGGTTACCTGAACAACCAGTACGCGCAGCCGACAGGATTCCAGAACCAGCCCACCGGCATGAATAACCCTTACGCCAACGGCTTCCAAGCGCAGCCCTCGGGCTTTGATCAGAACCCGTACGGCCAGCAACAAAACAACCTTTTGCAACCCCAGGCTACTCTCCAACCCCAGCACACCGCATTCAACCCCAATAACCCTTATGGAGGGGATATCTTCTCGCAGCAACAGCAGCAGCAGCAGCAACAGCCCCAGGAGAACTATCAAAACGCAGGAAGCAATAACCCATGGGCCGGAAACCAGCCTCAACAGCAGCATCTGCAGCCCGCTGATGCTCTCAAGCCCATGCCAACAGGATCAAACAACCCCTTCGCTCAGCGTACTCAATCACAGTTCAACAGCCCTGCACAAACGGGCCCACCAACACTTAATTCCTTGTCGGAGGACCGTGCAACGAATCAGTTTGGCCAGAACAATGCGCAGTATGGCCAAAGCTCGCTGTTCGCCCAACCCACTCAGCCCAACCCGATCGCTGGCTTCCAAGCCCCACAGCCACCAAAGAGTACCCCACCACAGGACCCTCACCATGCTCGTCTCAATGCCCTGCTCGGGTCAGGCGACGGCCAGGATACCTTCGGTAATGTTGGAGACCTCCGAATCCCCGCACAGCACACAGCACCTGGCACATTTGTCAATTCTGCTGGTCAGGGTTTGGACCGCCTACACGCTGCTCCCACTGGAAACCCATTCTTCGGCCAACAATTCACAGGTATGCCACAGCAGACCGGTTATGGGCAGCAGCAGCAACAGCAACAGCCTACCAATAACCCTTGGGGAGGTCAGCAACAGCAACAGCGCGGTGGTAGTCTGATTGATCTGTAGTCACTGTTTCGTGAGGCTCTTCTTTATTGATTCACTCCTGATTTCGCTAAGGCCACTCACGCGGATACCATCTATTCCATTTTCTTTTTTCCCTTTCTGTTTCCCGTTCAGTCATTCGAGGGCTTGGTCGTCTGGTTTTTACCCCGGTCTCATTGTTCTTGTTTCCTTCATTTCTATCCCTATTACTACCTGATACTCGCCACAATCTTCCTACATTCGTGAACTGTGGGTTTGTTGAAGTCGTGTAAGGGAAGGCTAACAACCTACGCCTTCTTTTTCATGTCCTCGATGGCCTACATTCCTTCGGGGTTTGACCTGCGTCCTTCATCTTGTCTTGTATTTTCTCAAGACATTTTTTTGTTTGTTTCTGTCATCGTCTGCCATTAGGATATCCTTCTCATTTCAAACCACTTTCTTGACACTTTATCAGACTTCCTTATACTGCATAGCTCTATTTCAAGTGTGGCTACAAGTCTAGTCAAATTGATTGGGTAATAGCTGGGCTACTTTAGTGTGTGATCAAAAAGGTCTCATGATGTCCAATTGTGACTATATTTTGCGCCTTTCTTCTCGTATTGTTAGATGTCAAGTGCAAAGCCAAGGCAACACAGAAGAGCAAAGCTAATTGCCGCGCCAAATCATAATACCATAGGGATCACGATCAGCCTCACTAACAGAAACCGAAGCAACGCCTTGTTCCTTATAAAGGTCCCGAATTCGGAATTCACTCACCGGTGGTGCAAGCCCACCATACTTATTAAGATGCTCAAGAGCCTTCGCAGAATCCAAGAAAGCCTTATTCCACTGTTCCGTAACCTCGGCCTGCAATTTAGGCTGCATCACCGCACGCAGATATCCACGTTCCGAGTTAGTGTGCGAAAGCGAAATAACAACAGACCCACGCTCTGTGGCAGCCAATGCCTCGTGGTGACTCATTTCGCCGGTCAAAAGGAGATCAGGGAGCTCGCCGTCACCTTTGAGGAGCACGCCCGAGCCGGAGCCAGGACACATGCCCACCGTACGGATAGAGATAGCGTCAACAGACTGGTCTTGCGGGATAGCGATGGGGATACCACCGGGCAGGCCAATTCCACAAGCGATGTTGTCGATCAGGGTAGTGAGCGGCTGTTTCTCGGCAAAGGTCACCAGACGGCCTGCGCCGGCTGACTCGAAACCTTCTGGGATTGAGGCTGGCGGGGATGGGTGGATTGTGGACCTGGTGTGCGGCGGTCCTTGCGAGGGGGTTTGCACGGCGGGGATGGGTGATTCCGGGTAGGTTGGGGCGGAGTACATGCTTGAGTTGCAGCTTTCGATGGTGGCTTTCGGGGTATTTTCGACGGGTTTGAAGTTTCCCGTGACTACGTCGCAAAGCCAGTCGGCCATGCCGCCGGGGACGGTGTCGACTGCTGTGTGCGGGGAGTAGACGCTGATTCCATGCTGTGCTAGGCGGAGTAGGGATCGTTGTTGGGTGTCGGCGAAGGTAAGGGATTTCAAGCCGCGGAAGATGATTGGGTCTGTATGGATGGTGTTGTGTTAGATTTGGAGGAACAATTGTGGGTATTTGTTGCTGAATCCCACAAGCCATCTAAATCGCATGTATGCTCATTCCTCGGGGTGCGACTTACGGTATGCGACGATAACCGAGTGGCGCTTCTCAATAGCTTCTTGGGCAACGGCCGCAGTGAGGTCAATAGCAAGGAGGACCGAGTTATTCTGTATCCGGGAATTGTCGAAAGGAGTTTGGTCGATAGGAGCTTCGAGGAGCACTACAATTGCGAGGTCAGTACAGTACATTGCGAAAGCCCATCAAATAATATTTCGGAAAAAAAGGAGCTTACATCCTGTATTATCAAAGCTCTTGTCTGCCAACGCCTCCGGGTATCTGCATATAAGAGGTTAAATGAAGCTCCATACAATGCGGGGAGCTCTGGGATCAAGTGGGGGATGAATTACAGCTTTCTCATAGAGCTCACCACGCATTTGGTGAATGGCGAGCTTTCAGAATGTTTCACTGATACATTCATGGTAGTAGAGTATCGACGTGTAGTAGTGCGAAGAAAATTCATAGAGAGATGTAAACACGTTAAGAGTTAGAAGAGCAACGGAGGGAAAAATGTTAATGAGCCACACACACGTGCACTCACCAGCCACAGCCGACCGGAGGCTCTGAATTTGTAATAAAGGCAAACTCCCATACTTCGCGATAACCTCGGGTTTGGCACTTTATCTTCTCTCATCTTCTCTCCCTCTCCTTTCAGACCATACTTGATGTTCTCCCGCACCTCCTCCTTGACCGTCTTGAGCAGAAGCTGCCGCTATCTCCTCCGCCCTCACAATAACATCCAGCGGGCCTCGTTTTCCCTCACCGCGCGCTCTCACGCCGCCATCAACGCCGCTATGGCCGACACATCTGGAATCACCGCAGACTCGCTGAAGAACAAGTTGACTGAAGTGCTGCAGGCGCAGCATGTGGAGGTTGAGGATCTATCGGGTATGGATATTTATATTGAAAATGAGAATGGGAATGGCACTATGACGTCGAAATATTCTCTTTTTTTTTTCACCCGTGGATCTATCGCTGACGTTCTGTCTTTTGGATTTAATATAGGCGGCTGTGGACAGGCATTCCAGGCTGTGATTGTTTCCCCTCAATTCGAGAGCAAGACTATGCTTGCACGACACCGACTCGTCAACTCCGCACTCAAGGCCGAGATCGCTGCTATTCATGCTTGGACACCCAAGTGCTATACCCCCGAGCAGTGGCAGGCTCTGCAACAGTAACTGATATCTTCCAAGAGGCGGGGATATGAACCATGACCTCTTCCCAGAGGGATATCTGGAAGAAATTGCATTAGACCAATTGAGGTTCAGACTTGGTTCAGGAACGAAGGATCGGCCATTGATTTCTACTTACTCGATTGAGTCAACTATATGCTTGCCCATTTACTTCTGGCATTGATTTATCAGGCGTTCGCCGGGTTGGAAAGGATGGAATATTTGTACATTAAAATCCTGCGCTACGAGTTACCATGCAGCAAGGACCAGAAATAAATTTGTGCCTTGGGCCCGTGATATATATTTATTCTAGTATTTGTAAGGAGATTAGAGGTCTATCTAGAGATACTTTTAACCGAGCACCTTCTCGGCAGCAGAGACTTGCAAGTGATGTTAGCATAGAACGATATACTCGACAGAAAAGAGACATACCGTTAAGACCGGTGTTGTCAGGCTCGACGAAAGCTTCCTTGACCTTTCCATCCTCGACAAGCAGAACGTAGCGCTTGCTGCGGTTGTTGCCGAAGATAGCAGCGCTATCGAAGCTGAGGTCGAGCGCCTCGGTGAACTTTCCGGATGGGTCACCGAGGAAGCGAATCTGTTCAAAATAAAATATCAGCTCTGTCGCTAGCATTACAACAAAAACAAAGAGAAAAAAAAAAACTTACACCGCTCTTGCCGGAGGGATCAAGGGAGTCAGCCCAGGCCTTGGTCCTATATGATAGCTTTGTCAACAAACGTTCCAGTAGAGCTTTCGCTCTGCAATTCGATATTAGCTTACACGAAGGGGTCATTGACAGAGATGACGAAAGCCTGACCAGCCTCCTTGAGCTTGGGGTGGTTGATGAAGCCAGGAACATGGGTGCTTGAGCACGCAGGGCCTTGAAGAATGTCAGCCCCGAACAGTTTTGGTTCCCTACTAAAGTAGGGTGGGAATTCACGTACTGAAGGCAGCTGGGGTGCCAATGATGACAGCCTTGTTCTTGATCTCCTTGGCCAAATTGACCTTGTTACCAGGGGAGTTCTCGACCAGGACGTCCAGGTTGGGGATGGCGTCGCCCTTTTGCACGAACGCGGGGGCAGTGCTGTGGAAGAGGGATGCTTGCGCGCGAACGCGGGGGATGTTGGTTGCGATACGGCGGGCGAACATGGTGTTAATTAGATTAATGATGGGATTGATTAATTGCAAAGGAATGAGCGTAAGAAAAAGTGTGGATAAAATAACGGGGAGAGCAAGGGCGGTATGTCGGGGAAAGCTTGGGGGATTTCGTCACGGCCGTGCATTACTTTGAGGAACTCCGTTTACACCTCTCACCATTTACTTCCAAGGTTATTGATACCGTTTACTTTTATATATGTGTATAAATTTGTGTGTTTACTTTCATCTTTGCATGTTAATTGGCAAGAAACTTTCAACCTGTGGATAACTCCCGTGCGACCTGCGGAGGCTATACCGCAGGTACCGCGAAGCAACCTATATGAGCTGTCACTCTATAATAGGCGCTCTCTTTTATGGACAGGGCGGACCAGCCGCCTTCGAATCGGATGATATGAAGTTGCATCCTATTCCTCCATGACGCAGTGGATCCTTGCTCTGTCACACGGTGGATCATCAACCCCCTGCTGAAGGTTGCAGTCATCTTCTAGTTCAACATGGAGTTCGGCGCCATCATAACCGTTCGAAGAACAATGGACTTGACTGGTGGAGCTCAAGTGATATAAGTGATTGCGTGTTTTTACTACGACGACAATGTGGCTACGGGGGAATGTTGTGGGCTTTCAAATCGCCATTTGGACTACTTTTGGTGGCTTTCTACTTTGTAAACCATGGGGAACCACGTTGCAAAGTGTTATAGGTAATTATTTGGGAAAGACTCGAGTTTTTAGGGGATTTCTAGATCATAAGATATTTGGACGCCTTATATAATATCTTTTATCTTGATGTCCGCTCTCGGTTCAAGTTGGGAAAGTGGTTCTCTCCGATTCATAGGTTCATGAACCCATCGAACCTGTTCAACCCAAGCACATGATCCTGAGACACGCGGAGAATGGCAGGGCTGATCACTAACTGTTATCCATATAAAACAGATTAAAAAGCGTTTTCGGTGGAGCATATCTTACCCCCCCCCTGTCACAAAGACTCTTTGATATCTCAAGGTGTCTACGCTAATTCAATGTCTCACCATTTTCATCAGGTCATTGGGGGAATGCATGCCCCCCTCCATCTCGTGCGCACTGACACGATCCCCTCCATGCCCTGCATTCTCTTCTCATAACGAATTAGATCTGAGTATTATGAAGTTTTTTTCCTTTCTCTGTTTATTTCGAACATGTACCTATTCAATACCTGATTAGTACCTAGGTCCGGAGGTGTGACATACTGGAATTTTGCCCCTCGTTGGTCCCTGAGTCCTAGGATATTCAAGATCGACCTCCTTGCATACAGAAATGTCAGTAAAATCAAATATCAAAAATATCTCTGAGACGTATTTATATAAAATAAAACAAAGATACGAAATAATCAAGTAACCTTGAAACACTGTAAGTCCATCGCATGTACCAGTCAGTACCTCCACAGTAACTTTGGTACTTGGCTCTACCGCTAAACCCAGTAACTGACCGTACCCCCATTATTTCAATTTTTTTCCCTCTCTTCCCACCCTCCGAATAGGTCTGGCTTTCTCCCCTTGTATTCTTTTCTTTTCGGTGATCGAACATCCCGTTATATTTACAATCAAGTTTATCCGCGTTGGGACGAGACCAGACTTGTTCGACCGGTCGCGACCCGTCTAGCCCAGCATGGACGGTGGCCAGACCTCTTCCAATCCCGCCCCCGCTGGGAACTCCAGTGATTTTGTTAGTGAAATCCTATATTGTTGTTTCGAGATCTCTACTAACAATATGAATAGGTACGCAAGCTGTACAAGTGAGTCTTGCTCTGCAAACTTCCCCTGGTATTCTTTTTGACCTTTCATCTGATAATTCCCACAGAATGCTGGAGGACCCAACCTATGCGTCTATCGTACGCTGGGGTGATGAAGGGGATTCCTTTGTGGTTTTGGAGGTAATACGCCCGTGGCTTTGTGTGGCCGAACAGATTTCCTCTCTTGGTGCTTGACTAACTCATTTCCCGACAGTGCGAGAAATTCACCAAGACCATCCTACCGAAGCACTTTAAACACAGCAACTTTGCCAGTTTTGTACGCCAACTGAACAAATACGACTTCCACAAGGTTCGACAAAACAATGAAGAAAATGGCCAGTCACCATACGGGCAGAATGTAGGCACCTCCCCCATTCGAAGATCAGTTGGACCGAGGTTCTCACACAGATCATACAGGCATGGGAATTCAAACACCCAGAGTTCCGCGCAAATAGCAAAGAATCCCTCGATAACATTCGACGAAAGGCACCCGCGCCACGAAAACAAACCCAGCCCAGCGACGACTCCGTACCCACACAACAAATTGATCTTCTTAACCAGCAGATCGTGGCGCAGCAGCAGCAGATCCAGCATCTATCAGACCGATATGCCCAACTCACGGTGGATCATCAGCTCATGCTACAGGAAGTGATGCGAGTACAGAAAACGGTGTTAAACCACGAGAATGTCATTCACCAGGTGATGACCTATTTGCTTTCGGTGGATGCGCGCCAGCGTCGAGACAGCAAAGCTGTGGCATTCCAAGCGCCTGGAACGACAATGAGCCCATCCCAGGTTGGTACAGTGGATGATGAACCCTCATCACCCCTCCAGCAAGCCTCAAAGCTCCTGAACGATATGAATGCCGAACTACAATTCAATATGAACGGCGTCGATTCGATGAATGATACTCAAAAGGCCGTCGTGTCAACTCCCACCATGGATCCGAATACGCGCAATGGCTCGCTCCGCCCCGCGACAACGGCACCGCCAAATCCAGCACTCGTTTACCCCAAGATGGCCGGCGATCTGGAGCAAGTGGTCTATCCCGTGGGCGCCACCAATGGCATTGATCCCATGTACAGCGAACATATCAACAATGTTCCATACCCAATGCCCGCCAAGCAGGAGATGGATACACCAGATGCTCGTCGGCAATTTCCCGACAACCGGAAAAAGAGCACGAATGTGGACCCTGGCTGGGTGCGCAGCCCACAGATTCTTTTGGTTGAGGACGATGCCACTTGTCGGCAGATTGGCGGCAAATTCCTATACTCTTTCTCGTGTGTTATCGATACCGCGGTACGTTATCGGTCTTATCCCATTGATCAGCATAAGGTTGCTAATATTTCCATTAGTTTGATGGCTTGGAGGCTGTGAACAAAATCCAGGGTGGCTCAAAATACGATTTAATCCTAATGGACATCATTATGCCGAATTTGGACGGTGTCTCAGCATGCCACCTCATTCGCCAATTTGATCGCACCCCTATCATCGCCATGACCTCGAACATCCGGAGCGACGACATCCAGCTCTATTTCCAACATGGTAAGACGAACATCAAAATTGAATCAAGTCTCCCGCTAACTCGTTGTAGGAATGGATGATGTTCTTCCAAAACCATTCACCCGCAAGAGTCTCCTCGATATGCTTGAGAGACATTTGGATCATCTCAAGATTTCGCCACAGAACCCAGGAATGGAGCCAGTCCGGCCTTCGGCAGCCGCTGTGACCATGGCAGCTGCAAATCAAAACTCAGCGACTCAGTCGATCAAAGAAGATAGCTCTCCCGGCCAGTCGCCCGCTGGATCAATGAACAATTGGCAATCGCCCAGCCAATTCCAAAACATGCAGGCTGTTCCGTCTAATATGCCAGCAGTTCAAGGGCCATATATTACTGCTCAACCGGCCGCCTACACTGTTGACCAGAATGGCGTCCAGTACCCAGCAGCGCCAGTAGGAGTCCCAACCGGGGGCGCTCCTATCCGTCCCCCGCATCGCCGTCAAATCTCCGACATGGCCGGTGCCACCGACAACCCCAACATGCCGAAACGGCAGCGCATGTACTCCCAAACTCAACAACCAATGCTTGCTGTGCAAGCTGGCCGACCTGGCTAAACACCATTTCCGGCCATTCATCCTGGCTTTGATTTTCTACACTTCACCTTTCCGCCTGTCCATTGACTCACGATTCCCACTTGTCTATAACGAGGATTCGAAATTCCAAATCGTACATTTTGCTACTCTTTGCGTCTTGAATCGCCGCGGTCATCTCCCGCTTTTTACAGGTTCTGGCGTTGGGTTTGTTTTAAATTGGGTGGCGAATTTTGCGCGACTTTCTATGCGTCAGCTATATCCACCGTGGGTTCATGCATTTCCAAGGTTACAGAGAGATTGTTTCGTCAGGTACATATTCACAAACATAGTATTATTATTACTCTCTCACATTCTGTGTCCAGGGGCTGGTATCGGGTCCATCGTAATATCTAAACACCATTTACTAAGAACTCACGACTAAACTACATGGACCTGACGCGGGATCTCCACTTGATGGGCAACCCCGTCGATTTGCGCGGGTAGGGCGGACGAACTGTAGCAATAAGGTAAAAAGGTCTAGACCTTCTAAATTGATATTAAAATATTTAACCTCCTTTCAAGGTCCAGGAGGGCCCAGAGCTCCCCGCAAGGTCTGGGCCTTCCAAGGGCTTGCGCGTGTTTGCTTGGTTTGCATTTGAGGCTATATTGGTCTCACCCTCTGCCGGGCTTTCCTATCTTAGCTACCGCCGCTTTTGTGAGGGCTCTCAGAGTACGATGCTCTGAGGCTAATTCGATTTCCCTTAGCGTCACCTTTTGGCCCAGGGAATATCTTAACGGATGCATCCCCACTAAACGACTGTCTTGACCAAATCCCTGCCGTTTGCGGGTGAACAGCCTAATAGACAGCCTATGGCGTAGGCTCAGCTAGGAATCGCCCACCATAAGTTTGTCCTTACAGTAGGCCCAGAATTATGAGACCCAATTCTCTCGTTAGCTAGGATACATACGGCGTTCAACAAAGTGAAACTTTTGACCCATGGGATGATGCAACACATTATGCTGCTTAGGTCATCAGCATAATCATCGCTGATTGAGCCTATTCTGCCCATGTGCGGCTTTTTCCAACAGTTACGAAAAACTCACACCGGAACCTCGCCTAGAACAAAGAGTGATTAAACGGAGCATGTGCTTCTTTCTGGTGATTCTCGACAGACTCGTCTCGTCTCCTGCTCGACCGATACCCACGGCATAATCACAACCACAATGAACGACCTCCCGGGCTACAAGATCAAAAATGTCGTGGGGACCATCTACGGCATCACAGTTCGGACTCGGAACTAGGGCGTAGATCTAGGCGCAGTCGTTCGCTCAGCAGTTGGAGATGAAGTTTGATTATTCACGAACCTCATATATACTCCAAGAGAGACGACGATGGAACGATCGGTTGGGTAGTGCATGAGTCAGGTGGGGATGCGATTATTACGGTGATATTTGACGTAGCTAGTTTTGGGGCTCTGAAGAATACGAACAATCTCCCATGGCCTTCAGCTGCTGTGATGCCCAATGGAGTATCGTAATCTTCACTCGAGCGTTCATACCAACAGCGCGACTGAGCAGTAGTAACGCGAAGTTTCAACTTCGAGGTCGCCATTAGCCACCATTTCTGCGACGCACGAGGCTAAATCGCTACTAACAGGGCTAAACAGCCATGTATATTGATCCTGTGCGGCATTCGATATTAGGTCATTCTGGAACGCGTGCTGTAGAAAATTCGAAATCCCTATATATATTTAAATAAACCATGGTCGCCACCGCTACAACGTCGCCAACGCCAAAGCCGAATACGGGGACCATGCTGTCGCAGTGGTTAGGAGCAGATAACTTTAGACGATATCAGATAGAGTCACTTGAGGCAATAATTCCAGCGGGGTTTTCTTTAGAAAAAAGAAGGTATCGAAGTATGCCGGATCTTGACGGTCGCTTTGCTTCTTCACTGCACAGCCTTAGCACTGCAAAAAACGCCCTGCATGATCGAGGCCCAAGCAACGTGCACGATCCTGATTGGCTTTTCTTGTGAGAGGTAGGTAGGGCACCTGGTAGCGCATATAGATAAATGAAAAATTTGCCAATACAATAGGGAGCGTCGTCTTATCAGTCTGTAGTTCCATCCCAAATGAATGAATCCACCAAGGTTGAGCTATTTATAGAGAGAAATGTAGGCATCGCAAAAGCCTTTCATTGAAAATTGATCGATGTAATCTTGTAGGGTCGTCACTCATGATGCTAGAATCCAGAATAAAGCCAACCGAGAAAATCAGAGAAAAAAAGGCCCCCATATCAAAAACCAGCAAGTCGCTTATGCTTTCTTCTCGGCGTCCGGCGCTTCGGATGAATCACCAATGGGTTCAGGCTCTGCATTGCCTGCTTGAGGCTCTGTAGAAGGGCCTTCATTCTTGGCTTCTTCTACTTCTTCTTCTTTCGGTTTCGTGTCCTCAAGGACAATATCACCGTCCTTGTCGGCAGTTGATTCGGCCTTTTCCTGTTCTTCTATTGCCTGGGTAGCAGTCGCAGCGGCTGGAGCCGGGACATCGGCGGCACCGTCTGTGGCAAGACGCATCTCGACGCCTTTGCCGTCTTGCAGACCCATGTCTTCCACGCCGAGGAGGATCGGACCACGGGCGTGAGGGACCTCATCAGATGGCTCTGGCGAGGCGGTAGCAGCCCCTTCTTCGGCTTCGGATGGTGTTAGGCTTGTGGTGCCCGGTTCTTCCTCGGGCTGTGTAGGTAAAGCTCCGGTGCCTGGGGGGAAGACGTTAGTGAACAGGGAACCAGTGGCTTGGTAATAGTGAATGAACATACCCTCGACTAGTATGCCTGCATCTCCATTGGCATCCTCGCCTTCGAATGAGGCATTAGTTAACCACGGGATCGGAGTAAGTAGCGCACCGCCCAGAGATTCATCGCTTCCAAGACCGTGGGCAAAGTCCGGGGCCATATAAACCCCGCTGCTGTTGCCAGGAAGCACTAGCCCGTTCGTCTGAGCATTTGTTACAGCCGGCGTTTGAAATGGAAAAATATCTGCGGAGCTTGTCACTGAGACAACGCGATCGACAGCACGTAGGTATGCGGGTAACGTTCTATAGTGCTTGGTCGGGTAGAGTACCAGCTCTGCGAGCCTCTGAATGGTGTGTGGAGGTTTATCCTCAAAGAAGGATTTAATCGACAGGCGGATGGCGCTCAGAAGAAATGCAAGCGGAGGCGGAAGCGGGCCATCTGTGCTCGCACCAGATGGCTGAGGCTGTGAGTCTGGCACTTGCTTGCCCGACGAAGGAGAGCCAGTTTGCGTTGCCTGGGGTGAAGTCTGGATATCGGTAGGGGAGGTGTTTTCCTTGTTGCTGCTTTCGGGCGGGATGGAGTTTGCCTGGGAAGAATGGTTGGGAAATGGTTGCTGGCCGATGGGTTCGGGGCGCGCTTGAGGCATGGGGAATACATTGTACACGATCTGGAGCTACTGGTCAGATAAGTCGGTCAGGGAGATCGAAGTATAGCGCACGTATTCAAGTCGCTCAATCAGTGGCCCAGCCATGCCGTGCCATCTCTCTCTGTATGAGCGCGTTAGCCTCAGAAGTGTTTGGGGATCTTGGCAGTTTCACGTACAAATCTATCGGGCCGCCATTGGCGGCTGTTTGGAGAGCTTCCTCGTCTATAATTTTTATATCAGTAAGACCCATTGCAACTCGGACTGAGACTGTGACTGCCGATGGCCAACCTACCCAGAGACATTGTCCAGTCAGCTGTGCATGGAGAAGCAGACGGAGTCGAAGCTGCAATAAGGGCGCGGTAGTCGACATCGGTGATTGGCCTGAGCTTATCGATAGCAACACGTGACTCCCCACGAATTTTCGGAGTTGAGGGGCACCGTCGATCTCTCATTTGATATATCCCGATCAATTGACTCATTTATCTCTTCGATCGGACATCATGTGGAACTCACCAAAGGTCGGAATCCTCGGCGGTGGCCAATTGGGCCGCATGCTTGTCGAGTCCGCCAACCGATTGAACATTCAAGCCAATGTCCTAGATGTCGACAACTCCCCCGCCAAGCAGATCAGTTCCCACGATGGCCATGTGACTGGTTCCTTCAAGGAGCCTGAGGCCGTGCGCAAACTGGCTGAGACCTGCGATGTCATCACTGCCGAAATTGAGCACGTCGACACCTACGCTCTTGAGGAGGTTGCGTCCAAGGTACGGGTGGAGCCCAGCTGGCAGGCTATCCGGACAATCCAGAACAAGTTCAACCAGAAGGAGCACCTCCGTAAATATGGAATCCCTATGGCCGAACACCGGGAGTTGGTGAACAACACACCCGAGGAATTGGCTCAAATTGGAGAGCAGTTGGGCTACCCGATGATGTTGAAGTCGAAGACTATGGCATATGACGGACGTGGTGAGTCATATGTGATGTCGATATGGTATACATTTTTTTGTTAATATATCAAAGGAAATTTCCGTGTCAACTCCAAAGAAGATATCCCAGAGGCCCTCGAGGCTCTGAAGGATCGCCCGCTCTACTCTGAAAAATGGGCTTATTTCAAGATGGTGAGTATCCGCAGTTGAACACACCATATCATGCACGTCTCTAATATAACTTGTCTGCAGGAACTCGCCGTCATGGTCATCAAAACCAAGGACGACGTCCTCTCCTACCCCACCGTTGAGACCGTCCAAGAGGACTCAATATGCAAGCTGGTGTATGCGCCAGCCCGCAACGTCTCCGATGCCATCAACCAGCAAGCGCAAGCTCTTGCCCGCAAAGCCGTCGCCGCCTTCGAAGGCAAAGGCGCTTTCGGCGTGGAGATGTTCCTCCTAGAAGACAACAGCCTCATGCTCTGCGAGCTTGCAAGCAGAATCCACAACTCCGGCCACTGGACAATCGAAGGTTGCGCGCTATCCCAATTCGACAGCCACATCCGTGCCATCCTCGACCTGCCCATCCCACCCAAGAGTCTTGAGCTTCTCCAGCCCTCAATCATGCTCAACATCATCGGCGGCGCAACCCCCGATTCCCACCTCCAGGCCACCCAAGCCGCCCTCTCCATCCCCAACGCCAGTATCCACCTCTACAGCAAGGGTGCCGCAAAGCCTGGCCGCAAAATGGGACACGTCACCGTCACCGGCGCGACTATGCACGAAGCCGAGACTCTAATCCAACCCCTCGTCGACGTCGTCGACACCATGCGCGCCCAGCGCCCCGATATCAGGACCAAGGCTGTCCGATCCGGTCCCTCTAAGCCCGCCCCATCTGTCGCCGTCATTATGGGTTCCGACAGTGACCTGAAGACCCTCGTCCCGGGCCTTAAACTGCTGCGTGATTACTTCGGCATCGAGCCCGAGGTTGAGATCACCTCTGCTCATCGCACACCCGATTACATGGCCGAGTATGCGGGCCAGGCTGCCTCGCGCGGCATCAAGGTGATCATCGCTGCCGCTGGTGGTGCTGCCCACCTTCCCGGTATGGCAGCCGCTCACACTGCGCTCCCTGTTATCGGTGTGCCGGTTAAGGGAAGCTCGCTCGACGGTGTCGATAGTCTGTACAGCATTGTGCAGATGCCACGTGGTACGTTATCTTTCTGTTTTACTCAACTTCTTTATTTCATTTTTACACCCGGTCTATATATCTAACATCTCATAATAGGCGTCCCCGTCGCCACTGTCGGCATCAACAACAGCATCAACGCTGCCCTCCTCGCTGCGCGTGTGCTTGGCTCTTTCGACCCGGTTATCCAGCGCAAGGTCGAGACGTACGCCGAGGCTGCTCGTGCCGAGAACATGGAGTTGAAGGGTACTAAGTTGCGCGAGTTGGGGTGGCAGAAGTACTTTGATCAGATGTAGACGGTAAGCATGTACGTACACATTTGTGATTTGAGACTTGATACGAAGCAGATGCCGAAAGAAAAAGAGAGACACGGGAGGTTTTTACCTTTCCTGGGCTTCTTGTATAGTGGAGTTCAGTTTTACTTCTTTCTATAGACGACAATGAATGACTTTTAAGCTTATTTTTATTGTCCACGGGTCTGGGGGACTTTAAATTTCTTGACTTTGGTCAAAGCTTCAATTTACTCTGGAATGATTAACGCAGACAACGGTGGCAATATGTATTAGGCTACCGTTAGCTAATACCAGTACAAAATAATATGAAAAAAAGTCCATAGTGCACAAGGGGAAATCATAGCAAAGAAACAAAAAGATCAAGAGACAAAAGAAAATAACGTTACGAGAATGTCATAACGATTTTGGTCACATGTGGTTTAGACGGGGGTTCCGATATTGTTGATGGCAGTGCCGTTAGTAACAGTACCGGTAGTGATGCCGTTAACGCCATTGGTGCCATTAGCGCCATACTTACTGACGTCACCCAAGTTCTGGGGCTTGCCATTGACGAAAGCTTGGTCAACCTCATCGGAGAAGCCACGGGCCGGGTATCCGGAGACATTGTTGCCGTTGGTACCGTTGACAGTGCTGGGAGCGGCGCCTGTGGTGGCGCCCGAGGCACCTCCGGTGGAAGCAACTCCGGCGCCTGTACCTTGGGCGCTGGCACGGGACTTCCTGGTGATGGGGCCACCGGACGGGATACCGGTGGACTCGGATGCGCTGCCGAGGCTGAAGATGGGGGACTCCCAGCGGTCGCCCTTGGCAGCCAGCTCGACATACTCGGTGGTCTTGTTGGATACGCCACCGGGGAGCTGGATGTCAGGGAAGAGGGAATCGTGGAGAGTCAGGACGGTCTGGACCGTGGTGTCACGCTTGGCAACGTCCTCAGCCTTCTTGGCCTTGGCTTGAGTGCGAGCTCGGATGGCATCGGCGTAGCGAGAGAATATCGTGGGCGCGTTCGCGGGATCTTCGCGGGCGGCCTGCTGGGCACGGATGGCCTCGGTGTGGATGTCCTTGGCGAAAAGGTCGCCCTTCCTGAAGGCCTCGCGGACCTGGCCCTCGACCACCTTCTGCAGAGCGGGCCTGACCACGTTGAACAGCATGGGCTTGAAGACGTTGAAGAGCAGCTTGTGGCGAGACTTCCTCAGCTTGATATCCATGTTCTTGATGGACACAGACACCCTGTCCAACTTGACAAAGTGCTCCTTGTCATTCTTCTGGGCAGTCGAAGCAGCGATTTTGACGCTGAGACCTTCTCCACCGAGGAAGATGTCCATAATTCCACGATCGGTGATGGAGGGGAAGCCATCCTTCTTCTTGATGTAGTAGCTGATATCGCGCAGATCAGCCTGAATGCCAGACATGGAAATCATGATCTTATTGTCACGCTTGTTGGTAATCTTCTTGCGACCCCAGCGGAAGTAGTTGTCGCTGCCGAACTCAATAACGTTGGGCATCAAGTTGTCACCCTCAATGCACAGGTTCTCGACCACAACATCGACCATGGGGTCCGAAACCTCGATACGGGGGATTGGAACGTAGCGGACATTCTCGAAGAAGCTGGGAATGATAACATCGCGGAGATCCCGAAGGAGATCCGGCTTGAAGGTAGGCTTGCCATTCGCGTCGTGACCCAGATCCTTGAACAGCTTCTGGAACGACTCAGCAAGAGCCTGGTTTTGCGGGTCCTTCTCGAACTGATCGGCCATGAACTTGACCTCATCGACAATACGGTCGGCGTCACCGCGGTAACGCTCGCGCAGGAGGTAACGACCCTTATCATAAATCTCGTTCCACTGGCGGTTGCATTCATCCTCCATGATGAAGCCTTGCTCTCGCAGAGATTTGCTATATCTGGTCAGCTTTTGTTCAAGGGGGAAGCTTTCCAATTCACATACCGAATCAATTTGTCAACGTTTCTGAACCAGTTTCGGAGTTCAGGGTCCCTCTCGGAATTGCGGTAAATGGTGTTCAGCGACTCGAAGAAGCCGTCCAGAGAGGTGTAGTTGGCAAAGCGTTCGATAAGGGTGCGCAAGTTGTACTGAACTGCCTGAACATTGTCGGTCTTCAGGACGTCACGGGCAGAACTACTGCCCTGCTTGGAGATATCCTTGGAGTGTCCAGCGTATTGCTCAGCCATGCTCAACAAGGTCTCGACGGCTTGCTGGTCTGCATGGTTTGTTAGTAATCCTCGACATCGATATCACAATTATGGTTGACTTACAGTCAGCATGACCCTGGATCTCAATGATCATCTTCTTCAGGCGCCAGACGGTCTGCTCGCGACGCTCCTTGGGAATTTTCTCAGACAAGTAGCTCTTAGTCCTGTCGGAATATTCCTTCCTCTTGTTCTGCGGTGATGTACCAGTCTCATCCTCAGCGACTGCCTCAATACCTTCGTTCTCCTGGGCTAGTGTGAGTATGTGCAGATTTGGGGACGTATTAGGGATACATACAGCCTTAGCCTTGTTCTTCTTCACTCTAGACTTCAGGTCATCCTTGGAGATATTAGGCTTCTCGTGCCAGACGTTGTCCTCTGCAGGTTGGTCGATCTGCGAAAGGTCCTCTTGCGAGGGGCGGACCTGGTTGGCGGCCTTTTGAGACGCATCGGCAGCAATGTCTTTGCCAAGAGTCATGGCATCGCTCACTGCGCGTTGTTAGGAAATGTCCGTGATCCACAAATGGAAGTTTACTTACATAGTTTTCTAAACTCTCCGTTGGTGATCATGAGTGTGCCCAGGGTCTTCAGGCCATCAACGGCCTTGCTCGCATCTTGCTGGCTGCTCTCCTTGTCGATGGGGAGCCCAGGGCGTTTGCCCTCGACATCTTCACCTGAAATCTTCTGTGCTTGC